CACTACCCCGTAAGTGTATCCAGCCCTCATCACCTTCTGATGCTTGCTGTTGTCCAGTGCTGGCTGCCAGTCTGTGAGAAATGCAACGCCACAGCACTTCTGGCTGTCTCTGGCACAAGTTGGCTGGCTGGCAGGAGAGCATTGATTCCTTTAGTTCTTTACACCACCCCGTGCAAAAGCTGGCGAGCTCTAGCAAAGACAGCTCCTTTACACCCTAAATGACAGCATTTTCTTCTGAGAAATTCTTCCAGCAGTTGCCCACCCTGTTCCTGACAGTGATTTCTACTGGGACATCTGTACCAGGAGGCTGCCCACACTCGTGCTCTGGTGGCAGAAGGGTGGGGTGTCTCAGTAGCTGAGCTACTGCTGGGACTGCATGCCAGAGAGCTCCTTTCTGTGCTGCCTTACAGTGGGTCGCAATGTTTCCTGGTTGATCTGGCCCAAATCCTAACACCAAACAGCAAGCTTCATACAGTTTATGCTGACTCCTCTGCGAGTGTCTGTTCACGCTGGCCAGTGCACACATTTTTCTCTGGGCTGGCTCAGAGACACGTGCCAAACCTTCTCCACGGGCCAGAATAGGGCACTGCATTGGCTCATACTGGGCCAAAAAGTGTTCTTGCAAAGGCTAGTTCTGGTTAGCATGTTACCAGCAGAAGACATGTATGGGGCACTAACTTTGGTGTCTCTTCCTGTCTGGGTTCTCTGCGCTTTGGTTCTTGTTGGCTATGACTTGGCTCCTGCATTTGTGTGAGAGTGTGTGTGTCTCACCACAGGGGGAGGAGGTGAATGCTGGCAGGATTGGACTCACCATTATACTGTCGGGGATGGTTGGGGCTCTCATCTCTGGCATCTGGTTGGACAGAACCAAAACCTACAAGTAAGTCCCTTGTTTGCCTCTGTGCCCCTAGTGACTGCGCTCTTCCCCCATACCGTGCAAGGAGCAACCCTGTGCAGTTGCAACTCGGCAGTCCAGGGACTGAATCATTGGGAGGGTTTGTAGGAAAAAAATACGGTTCTTCAAAATCCAGTTATTCTGAAGTGAAGTTTGGAGCTGTGTGTTAGTCTGCTCTGGGCCCATACAAGGTCTGGTTCTAGTGGTCCCTAGGGAGGCATAGGGAGAAGATGAGATGGCCCAGCAGCTGCTTTGTCAGGAATGAGAGAGCTCTTGGCACAAGCAGAATCAAGACTGTACCAGACCATTTCTCAGCCCTTACAAGCCAGCTTCTGAGAACCTTTGTCTGGCTTAATGAAAGGCGCATTGAATCCAGTGCCCAGACACATTGTGTGAGGGCACGTTGCTGTGTTTAGGGCAGGGATAAGGGGTATTGGTGTTGTGGGTGGATGATTCTGGGTTTACTGCCTGGTGGGTTGGGAAGGCAGATCTGGCCAGCGTACCCTGCCACCTACAAAGGGACAGCTAAGAGTCTCTGGGTGTCCTGCAGCTCCCAGTCCTCAGGAACTCAGATCTCACTGCAGACCTCTGTAGGGTGTCCCGGGGAAGGGAGAGTGCCTCTGCTGTCTTATGTTGGGGTCTGTGTAATCAGCTTTTCAGTTTCCCTGCTGGCTGTGAGAACTGTGCTATAACCTGTTGTCTGAACAGGTTGGGTGAGAGGGAGCTTTACTGGTGATGTGCTGGTGATAAGCTGAAGGCAACTTTGGAGTTCTTTTCCTTGCAGCAGCTTTTCACCTGGGGGAGTCCCACTACCATTGTCCTACCTGGTACCTTTGGCCAGAAAAGCACATTCTTATTGTGGGCAGCTTAGATGAATCTGGCTAGCTGTGGGCTTGCAGCTTCTGAAGTGGCCTCTGGCCCTAGCTGTCAAGTACAGGGATCAAAATGGAGAGGAAATGGGCTTCTCTAACAAGAAAGAATGGTAGCTGAGGACTCCTGGGGGTGCTGGGAAAGAGGAGCAGATGACTAATACAGAGACTGGCAGGTCGCTTGTTGCTGTTTCTAGATCATTGTGTACCACTGAGTAGTTCTCATTTGGCAGTCCTGGAAAACAGAAACACAGCTGTCATGAACTGCACTAGCTAACTGTGCAATGTAACTTTTGCCTCTTTCCAGTCCCAGGGCTAGTGGTGAGGTAGCCTCAACTAGCACTGCTAGGGCGGATGGTCTTCCTGATTCTCCCTAAGTGGAGCTAGATAGCAGCACAAAGGCTGAAGAGCTTCGTGGCTCACCAGGCAGAGCTGGGACTTGAAATTTGGCAGAATGGGAGAGGGGAAAAAAAAATAAATCCTGGATTTGTTCCACGGTCCCTGCTTGCTTGGAGGGACCATGTAGGTGGGCAGAGCTGGCTGAGAGTGCAGAAAAATAGGGCTATGCCACCCATGGAATTTATCCTACAGACCCCAGGGACTATCTGGAGATAGATTTAGCCTTAGGTGAGGAAAAACACTGCTAAGAATTTGTTCTTCCATTGCAGCCCACAAAGTGGATTTCTGTGGAACTAGCAAAATTTTTCTGAGTGCTACAGAGTCTTTATTTAGCCCCATTTAAAAGTCTATTTAAAAAAACTGTCAATATGCCAGATGTTCTAGGTAGGTACCCTCCCCCTTCCCTCCGCTGCTCAGATAGTGTCAGGAACGAAATGGTAAGCACATGAAAATCAGGAAGGAAAGATGTCAAGTCCTTTTTTTAGTCAGCTTGGAGAGAGAGGGAAGCAAATGAATGGGATCCAGCTGTGATTGAGGGGAGCAGGGGGAGGTTAATAACAGAAGGAATTGCAGAGCTCTACACGCGTGTTTGATCTTTACTGTCCCATCAGCAGTTCCTTGAAAGGGTGAGGCTGTGCTAAGTCAGCCTTTCCCCATCTGTCATGCTCAGGCACCAAATGGCCTTGCATTCTTGCTTTTATTTGGCAGGCAAGTCTCTGTAGCAGACCCTGCACTGTTCTTATTTTTGGAATTAGCAGGCGCAGATTTGGCCTGTACAAATACGCGAGTTACGTTGTGACGAGCAAGCAGTTCCAGAACTGGGGCTGCCTCTGGTGGGATGGCTTGCTGAGAACAGCCCACCTCTTCGAAAGAACGTGTTTTGACATCAAGTTAAATGGATCAAGTTAAACGGAGCTCCATGTACATCCTTCAGGTTCCTGGCTCAGAGGAGAGATGGAGTTGTGACACCTGGAGACTGCTGGGTGTATTGGTATTTGTAGGGGAGTCTGGCTCAGAATCAGGGGTTTGGGGACTGGATTCAGCACTTCTACTGAGTGCTACAGATATGGCAGGACAGGGTGAAGGCATATCCACTACACAAGGACTGGAAAAGGACTACAAAAAGAAGACCCAAATTGCAGGACAGGCCAGGCTGAGAGAGCATTCACCTTTCAGTTGAAGAGACCCAAGTGCCCGCCCCATTCTCCAATATCCAAGTCTTTCCTCCCTCCCCCGAACTTTAACACACTTTAGGCCTGTATAGACCTCACTGAGCACTCACTTCACTCTGTAGCACTCAGAAAAATTTTGCTAGTTCCACAGAAATCCACTTTGTGGGCTGCAATGGAGAACAAATTCTTAGCAGTGTTTTTCCTCACCTAAGGCTAAATCTATCTCCAGATAGTCCCTGGGGTCTGTAGGATAAATCAGCACTTCTTTTTGGCCACGCTTTGCTCTTAAGGGCAGTGTTCACATGGCCTCGGGTCCAGCTGGTTCCAGACAGCACTCTTTGCTGTCATCGCTCCATCTCTGTAAGGCAAGATGTCAGAAATATCCATCTCTCTCCATTGACTAGGCAGAGGACCCCAAGTGGTGTTTTAAACTTAGGTCTGTATAGGCCTAAAGTGTGTTAAAATTCAGGGGAGGGAGGAAAGACTTGGATATTGGAGAATGGGGCGGGCACTTGGGTCTCTTCCACTGAAAGGTGAATGCTCTCTCAGCCTGGCCTGGCCTGCAATTTGGGTCTTCTTTTTGTAGTCCTTTTCCAGGTTAGTCCTTGTGTAGTGGATATGCCTTCACCCTGTCCTGCCATCTCTCTTATATAAATAATTTACCAAGGCTGTCCTTTTTTGTGACCTTCATACAGGAAGAAGTGACTTAAAACTGAGTGCCAAAGGCTGAGGGGGTCGTGAAAACCAAACCAGCCCTCTCCAATTCTTCCTTTCTCCAGCATCTGACACCTCAGTGTCTTCAGCAGTGAGATCCTTCTGGGAATATAGGGACAAAGCCTTTGTTCAGGGTCTTGTGCAGCCTGGAATGTGCTGTCCTCATGGCAAAGCTTGTGGAGGCCACCTGTCATCCCAGTCTGTACAGCAGAGCGCTTTGGAGCTGCACAAAACATCCCAGTGAGCAGCTAAAGCTGTGGCATGTGGCTGTGGCCTCCCCCCCACCCCTTGTTCACTTGTTGCTTCAGATGTTGCTTAACTCTAGTGTTTTTGCAGCTGCAATCCCCTGTGAGTCTGGTCCTATCCTTTTGGCTTTCCTTGTCCAAGTGACCTTGTAAGACACGGCTGGGCTGGGCTATGCCCGTTCCTTGCTCTAGAGCTTCCTCTGGAGTTGGCTGAACAGCAGGAGTTGTGCTGTCCATTCCAGTCTTGTTCCCTGCTTGTGCTGGCCCTTGCTGGCTTTTTGCCCCGAGGTCTTTCTTTTCTCACAGTCCCTTGTGTGAGCTCTTTAATTTGCCTTTTCAAAAGGGTAGGGAATGTGGCTGGGAGGGCAGACGAATGTCAGGGCAGCTTAGGTTCACCTAAGTGACAAGCGTGTCAGCTCCTTCACAGATCTCCCTCTGGCTCTGCTGCAGAGACTTGGCAGCTGGTGCCTTTGTAGCACTGCTTCCACATCGGTGTGCTGGGCTTCCTTCCCACACCTCGGAGCACAGGGGTAGGTTAACCCTAGTTGTCCTAAGGTGATGTAGCAGGATGCGTAACTTCCAGCCTGCACTCACTGCACTGGACAGCCTTTCAAGCAGACTGGCTGTACCTGTTCCAGACAATAATTATCAGTCCACGTAGGGCCATCATGGGAACAGGTTGCTAAAAACACCAGGATGCTGTGTGAACATCCTCTGTGAATCTGCTTCTCCTTTGGGTTTTTGTCTCTCCCATAAGATATTTATGGCTATGATAAGAGGCTTATCAAGCAAAACCAGGCATTATTTCATGCCCTGGTGCCCCTAGGGCCACAGAGCATTCTTCTTGTCCTCTAGTGAACATGGTGACAAAGGCAACTTCCTGAGAAACGCCCTGCCCTGGGGTCTTTCTCCAGGGGTTTCTTTGTTTCCCTATGTACCAGTATCTACCTATGTCTCAACTAAACCCTTTCTTTGAAATTTTTTGGGTCTTGCCTGGACTGCTGGGCACTAAATCTCCTTTTTTGTCATCAGTGGTATGCTCAGGGCAGCAGGGTCTTGCTAAAGTCTGGTTTAGTAGAAGTCTGCCTGTGTGCTTGAGGCTGTTTCCTGCAGCGGGAGTTGCATTCAGGGCTGTCTGTTCGAGTCCCAGTTAGGGACTGTGTTGGGCAGGCAGCTGCTCAGTGCACGGCTTCAGGGTGCTTCCCATTGTGTGGTTTCCACAGCGCGCAAGCCTGCAGTCTTGTTCTTTTACAAGGGTCTGTCAATTCGTTTTGCGCTGCTGGAGCCTAATGATTCAGGGAGGCAGGTCAGTGAGGAAAGCTCATCGTCTCCTTGAGCCAGCTAATGTGCAGTAGGTATGGTACCCATGGCAAGATGGAATAGTTTTCTCCATTTTGTCCCCCACTTACTTCTGCAGTTCCAATGGAGAACACTACTGGCTTTAACCTGCAAGAGTGGCCTGCTTCTCTGAGCTTGTCTGCTCTAGTTCTCAGTGGGGGGCTGCATGTTCTGGGAACTTCTTTCTTGCAGCTTGACTAATGACATAGCATCAATGTGAAACAAAGTCCTGACCACATTTGGTCACTAACTCATTCATCATCTTTGCCTGGAGATGAGGAGCGAAGTGCAACTGAGGGCAACTGTCACAACAGACTGAATCAGATACAAACTACTTAGAACTGTAAGCCTAGGAAACTGGGTGACATTTTGTGGGACCATCCTGAGAGCTCTGCACTGAGACCAAAACTGGCTGTGGGAAGAAAAAGCAAAAATACCCCAAACATGTGCCACGTATCCCTGCTGGCCAAGACTAAGCTTCTTAGGGTCACAGCCACCTCTTGGAGGCCTGCACTGTATTTTAGCACTGACTGCTGTGTAGTTTGGAGATTCCTGTTTATGGAAGGAGCACCCAGTTCAAACTTGGTCCATGCAGCCCAGGGAGTTGTAATTCTAGCCTTGAACCCCTTTCCTAGTCAGTGCAGTCCATGTCTGCTTGTCAAGAGATAGGAGGCATAAGAACTTGCAGGAGATATCTGAGGAACCTTGTATTCAGCAGAGAAAGGCTTTTACCTGCTTCTTGAACTAGATGATCTTTAAGGTCCCTTCCAACCCAAATCATTCTGATTCTCTTTCACTTTCCTGGGGCTGCGCTCTAACTCCTGTGTCAGTCCTTCATCTCTTCTCCTTCTGCAGTCTCCAGGCTGCGTGCCGGCCATGTAGCAGCTCTCTGTAACAGGTTATAGCAGAAGTAAGAAGCCCCTTTATGCTGCCTTCACAGGTGACTTTTTTCCTCCATGAAAGCATTGGAAAACATATTCTAGAAATGATATAGCATCGGAGGTTAAGGGATTTGCCTACCCCTTTGACGTGAAACAAAATTCCTTGTCACAGCAGAATCTTGTTTATACTTTCAGTGCATTAAATGTGTCTGGTGAACCTTTGTAAGCATGGGTCAACAGTTGAAGTCTGAAATTAGCTTCTCAAGCCTGTATTTGGATAAGAAGTGATGTAGGAGCATGAAACCCACTGACTTCAATCACTGCCGGCAGTGAGGGAGGACAGAACCTTAGCTGGAACATTCTGGTTTTATCTGTAGTAATTCAGTGTACTGGAAACATTTTATCATGCAATATAATACTGGCTGCCTGTTTGGGGTTGGATTTTTGACGGTGGTCATTTGCATTAAAAAGGAAAAAAAAAAGTGAAAACCGTTTGAGGTTTAGTTTCTTTAGTAGAATTCTAGGAACTGATACCAAACACATTCTTTAATGGATTAAGACTAAAATTTATAGAAAGTACACAACTAGCTCATGGCTATACATTTAACTTCTTCCTAAAAGATGATGTCCCAAAAGTTAATCTTCTGTCAACTCAGATAACTGTTCTGCTTTCAAGAGCCTGGTGGAATTTCAGTCGGATAAAGGATTTACCTTTCCTTCCTTCCTTCCCAAAATTACGTACTGCAAAGGGCTACTTGCTACTGCCTGTACTGGAAAGAGCCAAGTTTTTTTTGGATGTGGGAAGAGTTTCCTTGGTGTCTAGTCAGGGATGACAATTGCTAACATTTCAGTTCTAGTAAAGCTGGCCTGGGCTGCTGCATGTCTCACAGTACTGAGCCCACTGATGTTCCTCAGCGTGGCCAGGCTGCAGATATGGCTGTTCCCAGGATCTGCCTGGCATGCTTTCTGGGCACAGGGTTGCTTTGTCCCCTCTGCCCAGAGATGAGAGCTTGTGGTTCAGCTGCCATTGGCCATGGAACTGGCACTAGTCCCACTAAATGCTGCCGTGGCTTGAAGGTGAGGCTGTGAGGGCAACCTGGCTTGCGTGTCACCTCTCCAAGTACAGTAGGCAGTTTAAACAGAGACAGGAGCAGCAGTGAAAGGTGTTTTGGATAGCATTGAAAAATACAGGGCCATAACACTGTTAGCGGTGTTGTGTCACCCTTTCCCTTTGCTTTCCTGCTTGGGAGTGCTTAATCACCTCAGCTCCTGCTTATAAGTAAGCATGTCCCAACTGGTTGTAGTACAGAGGGTGCCCAGGAAAGATTAATGATCTCTTTATTTGGCTCTTGTTCTCTCCCTCAAGAGGAATGTACAGTACATGACCAGGGACCTGTCAGCCCATGCATGGTAGGATCTGAGCTTCTTGGCTGCCTCATAGGTACCTCCTTATAGATGTCATGCCCCAACGCCACAGGGGGCATGAGGTAGGGATGTGAAAACTCCTAGGTCCTGTTCTTGCTTCTCCTGCTGCCCTGCTCTGTGTGCAGGCCCTTCCATGCTCTCTGTCAGTCCAGTTCCTCTGTCTGGGGTAAGGGTGTCAGAGCTGTGCAACTTTTTTTTTTTTTTTAAACATGTGCTGCAAACTATACCAGGATCTGTGGGTGAAAAGAATAGGAGGACTGGATTAAATAAACCCTGACTCTGCTTTTCCTTGCAGACAGACTACACTAATTGTCTATATCATGTCTCTGGCGGGAATGATAGCCTACACCTTCACTCTGAGCCTAGGCCACCTCTGGGTGGTCTTTGTGACTGCAGGCATGCTGGGGTAAGTTCATGTGCAGGCTGCTTTCCTCTACATGTGAGCTGCTAGGGGATGAGCAGGGAGGCAGAGCTTATGGCGCAGGAGGGATTGGGAGGAGCCATAGCCTGTGTGTGGCTATTGCATGGTTTAAGGACAAAATGATCTGCTCTTCCCATCTCTCTCTTTTATGTGTTTCATTAGAGTCAGGGACATTAGTGTGGCCCTGCTCAGCTGCAGCTGCCTTCAATGTTCCAGGTAATAAAGTGAAAGCATTTGGGAAGCAAGTGGTACCACAGCCCCATAGATGACCAATGGGCAGGAATGAAAAGCATGTGGGCCTGGGTGGCTGTTTGACTGCACTGGGGATGATGCCCCTTAGAGTTACTTGTGGGAGATGCTGCTTTTAATGCTTCATTCTTGTAGCAACTGGCAGCTCCCTGCTGGCCTGGCTCTGTGCCTTGAGGCTGTGTGCAAAGGTATTTCTGAGTAGGAGGAAGACCTGTGCCATGGTGAGGGAGTCAGACAACTGCCTGGGCTGTGGCAATGCTAGGGAAAACATCCTGTGCAGTCAGTGAAGCATCCCAAAAGGGATATGGGCTACACTGTGCCACTTCAGTCTTCCTTCTGGCAGTTGCTGAGTCTTCCTTTCTGTGTGTTTCTTCACAGGTTTTTCATGACAGGATACCTTCCCCTGGGCTTTGAGTTTGCTGCAGAGTTGACATACCCAGAATCAGAAGGAACATCATCAGGGCTCCTTAATGTCTCAGCACAGGTTGGTGTGCTGTTTTCCCTTTGCTTGCCTCTTTATAGGCAGAGAGATTTAACTGTAGTTCCCAGCCTGGACTCCTATTTCTTGTCCATGATTATTGTAATGTACTGCAGATCTAAGCACCCTGGGACCTGGCTTTTTGAATGATGTTCCTCATGGCATTTCTCTAGGGGCACCTATTCTGTTTCTGCTTAGGAAAATCCATCAGGATGCCAGTCATCCTTGCCTTTTCCAACATTGCTCCTAACAGCCTAGGACCTGGCTCTTCTCCAGTGAGAGATGGGATTCCAGCCTTAAGGGTCACCTGTCTTCCCATCAGCTGCAAGGAGGTGCCTCTGGGTGTGTTTATAACCAAACTTTAGGTTTATAACCAAACACTAGGCCAACAGCTTGGCTGGCCTGTATGCTCTGATACTTTGGTAAAGCTAGGAAGCTGTTTGGGCTGCTTTATAATAACAGTACAGCTTGACACTGCCTTTGTTTGTTTGTAGATTTTTGGTATTGCTTTCACCATCGGCCAGGGGCAAATCATGGATCGCTTTGGGACAAAGGCAGGAAACCTCTTTCTTTGTTCCTTCCTGTTTCTAGGAACTGTTATGACAGGTAATTATATTTTTCAGTGTTTCTCTGCTGTGACTCTTCCCTTTGGGCTTGGTATATGAATTGAAGGGCTTTTGTGTGTAGTGGTGCATGCAGGAAAGGGCAGGACCAATACAGCAGTCCCATAGAAATGCTGCTGTGCTTCTTTAAGCATCTGGTCTGTGTTACAAAGATCCAAGGCTTCTTGCCCTGGCTGCTGGCTGGGGTCTCAAAGATGCACCTTCTACGTGCTGCAATAAGGAGTCTCTATCCTGCCTGTTCCAGAAATGCTCTCTGCCTCATCCAGGAGAGTGGTTTCCCTTGCTCGCCGTAACGCGTTCCTGTCTCCTCTGGGGCCTCTGCTGCCCCTTTGAGTTCTGGGGAAATTGATTTGGGCCCTGCATGGTGACTTAACTGCCTTCACATTTCTCTTCCTCCCTCTGTCCCAGCATTCATTAAGGCTGATCTCCGAAGACAGCAGGCCAATTTGGATAATGAACAGACAGTGAGTAAACCCCCCTTCAATCCCTGCTGTGCCCCTGCTATTAGCTCAGGATGACACCCAATCTCTCCCCTTTCTAGGAAGGGGCTGGCCTTTTCTGAGTTACGATTGCAGCTGCAATTCTCTTCTCTTATCCCACCACTTCTTGCCCAGCCTGTGGGGAAGCTCCTTGTTGGCATTTTCAGACAGGTGGCTGTAATCCCAGCTCTGTCAGCCACTGGGGCCTCTGTTTACTGTTAGTCATGCAGAATCTGTAGGCTCTGGTCCTCTGGGAGTCTGCAGGGCTTCACACATCTCGTATCGGCTAGGGATAGATGTAGGGCAGCACTGCGCTCGCTTCTGTCCCCTGGCAATGCACTGAGCCCTCCAGTACTTTGTCCTTGTTTAGAGCTGGGTAACTATTATTCCAGGCCCCTAGGGAGGCAGGTTATTCCTCTTCTTCCCTGTCCTCAGCTGCCAAGTGGGATTCGGTGTATGGGACTGGAGAAAGCTAGGTGGCAAAGCGCAAATGAGGGCTTGAGCAGCCTACCTCCCCACACTTTGTGCAGTGCTGCAGACAAGGCTGCTAGTTCATATGTGAGCACCAGAGCTCGGGGTATGATGTCCCTGTGGCATGCTGTGCAATAAACACAGTTGTTTGCATATGGGAGAGGGCCTCTGGTGAACTAATTGCAGTGGATACTCTTAGAAGCTCTCCCTGCAGGGAAAGGGAGGGGACTGGTGGTTGTTTGAGGCTCTTTTCCTTATTGCTCTGGGCTCCTCTTCTAGGACGTTAGCAGAGACATCTACTCAACGTTCATGAAGCCATCAGCGACCATGCCTAGCAAAGTGCATAAGCTCAGTTCTCTGCTGTCTCGAGTCAGCCCTTTTCAGAAGACAGTGCTGCCTTCCTCCAGATAATCTAACCAATCCGATCTGGAGAGAGACCAGAAGGTCCAAGAAGCAGCTCTGCTCCGACCGGCTGCTCAGGAAGGTGGATTTTCAATTACAAAATATAGGCTTTTTTAATTTTATTTTTATTTTTTATTTATTTTTACTGAACTATTTGAGCACAAATGCAGAGGGTAGGATAAGTAGAGGGAATTGATGCTGCCTTGAGTAGTTCTTGCACATGTAATTCTAGACTAGACAGGGGGGAAAAAGGCTGTGCAATTTATCTAGTTTGGGTAAAGGAGTTGCCCCCCCCATTGTCATAACTTAAAAAGAATTCCTGCTTTTTTTCTGCTCTGAGGCTTACAACTTTGGCTGATTTTAGCAGTGGTGAGCATCATGGTCTACGGGACCAAGCTAGAAGACAACTGGTCTCCCAGAATCCTGGCGTGAATGGGGCTAACTGGAACACATTTAGCTAAGCTGAGCTTGGGTAAAGACCAGTCTGTTTTGATATACACCAAACTGCTTGTATGCCTCGATTAACAGTGCTGAAGTCAAAGGCAGAAGATGAATTGTAAGGCCAAACCATCCTCCGCAAGCCCTGAGGCAGCAGGATTATAATGAGAGGTGCTGGTGGCACTGTGAGTTAATTCATAACATGTATGTGGAAGGCCCAGGAAATATCAAGGTCCTTTGGCAGCGAACATGATACTTAGTAGTAATAAGGTCCCTTCCCTTTGTCAGACACTTCTCTCACCAGGTGAATTGTACACTTTTACTTAAGCCGTTTTTAGTATAAATCTTTTTAGTAGAAATACAATTGTAAGAGCTTGCTGCTGGAGGGGGGAGGGCGTTGAGACCAGAGCAAAGGTGGTACAGGTGTCATTTCTATAATCCTAAAAGCCTCCAGAACTGACTGCAGTAAGAACCAGAGGGATGTGTGTGAGGTATCGGGTCTCAATCAGTTAAAAACTTCACTGGCAGCTCCTTCCCCCTGAGCAGTCATACTCTGAGGAAGTCATGACGGACACCCCACCACACCCCCAAATGTGGCCTCCACATGCCTGAGCTCACCTAGGTATTTCTCAAGCTTAACAAACAACCCCAGGTGCTCAACCAGCTGAAGGTGGGCTGAACCTGGTGTTCTGTGTTAACATGGATGCCTCAGTCAGGGGAGCAGCCAGCTGGGCTTGGGCATTGTGTGCTGCCTTTGTGGAGAGCTCTGACGGAGTCAGGTACTGGAGCTTTTCTACATGGCACAGCTGCCTTACACATGCTTGGGTGATTTTACTGGTTTCTTCCTTTGTCTGTTCCTTTTTTTTATTTCCTCCCCTTTCATTTCCCTCCCTCCTTGCCTCTGTCTTTTCTGGGATGGTGACTTGTGGCTGTTGTTACAGAGACTCCAAGGCAGCAATCAGATCACGGATTACAGGACTGTAGCTTGTAACCCTAACCCCGTCAATTCTCATTCCTACTCACTAGCTCATACACAAAGGTAGGAGAATTGCACTAATCTGCTTCTCTGAACCCTCGTGGGTGGCACAGGCACCAAGCCAACGGCACTTCTGGGGTGACAGCAATGGCCGTAGAGTACCGATAATCTTTCTGGCCTTCTCAGGTACACCCAGCTGAGAGGAAAGACAGGACAGCGTTCAAGAACAGAGTGGAGATCTCAACAGACTCATGTCAGATGGGGGCATAGGGATTCAACTAGGTGCAGCAAGGCAAAGCCTGGTGCTGGAGCAGATGGAGAACTGAATTATCAGTAAGTTATTGGGGAGAGGAGGTGACTTTTCTCTGACATTACTTGTACAGTCCAGATTCTTGGCTGGAAGTGATACCAGAAGCCCTGTAGAAGAGTTGGCTTTGATTACAGCCAGGGTGCATGGCCACCTTCAAGAAGGAAGTTTAAAAACACCTAGCAATAACAGAGTCATTGGGTTGGTGCCTTTTTGTATAAGAATGCTTGAAAAATTGTAAAGCTCTGTGCTTGCTGATCTGCGAATCTCAATGGCTCTTGGCATTTTCTCAGCTGTTGCTCAGACTGTAATGCTTTATTACTCACTGTCCTCTGCTTTGCACTGACTGGCTGATCTGCACCACGCTACCCTTTGTTTTTCAAGGTGTTCATCAAGTGTTTGTATCACTTAGTGCCACAGCCAACAGGACTAACAGGCAAAAGCAGAGTGAGTCCATTGGGAGAAACAGCCTTAATCCTGCTAAGACTAGAGCGTATGCTACAGGGAGCATGAAGCTGCCACGCTTTGATGCAAGCGTGAGGAAGAGTCCCATGGGCAGGGAAAGATTTGATTCCAGGCTGAGTGCTTCTGAAGCTGTCTCCATGCTGCAGTCTGTGGCAGTTTTAGCAGGGTACACGTGTGGTGTTGATTTGGGACCAAGTAGTTGAGAAGCTGTAGCTGCACGAGCTGGGCAAGCCTGCTTGGGGTATACTGGTACTTTTTTGATGGCTGAAGTTTATGTCATCGCCTTTGTTAGCAGACCTAGCTTGATACAATTGCCAGTGTTACCACTGACATCCCAGTTGTAGAATAGACACTGTGGGGCTCAGGCATGTTGCTGTACACGCCCTGCATCAAAACTGCTTCCATAAAGAAAGACGGGTCATTGTCATAGAAGACTCCCTTCTGAAGGGAGCAGAAGGCCCAATAGGCAGAACAGACCCACTTCTTAGGGAAGTCTGCTGCCTCCCTGGGGCCCAGGTTAAAGATGTGAAGAGAAAACTTCCTACCTTGGTATGGCTCTCAGATTACTATCCATTATTCATTTTTCAGGTAGGCAGCAATGAAGTTGCAACAAGAAGTCTGAGGGCAATCAAGAGAGGCTTCAGGGCCTTGGGATGACTGGGTAAGGGATCAGGAGTGCAAGTAGTGTTCTCCTCTATCCCTCCAGTTGCAGGGAACGATGAGGGGAGAAACAGGAAGAGCCAGCAGATCAATGCCTGGCTCTCAGCCTGGTGTCACCGGCAGAATTTTGGGTTTTTTGGTCATGGGTTGGTTTGCACGATACAGGGCCTGCTGGCAACAGACATGGTACACCTGTCTCAAAGGGGGAAAAGGATCTTTGCACAGGAGTTAGCAGGGCTTTGCACAGGAGTTAGCAGGGCTTATTGAAAGAGCTTTAAACTAGATTTGAAGGGGGAAAGG